TGTTAGACTTTACAGTACTTTGCAGGTCAAATGCAGGACTCAGAGAGGGAATGAAATCCAGATCAAACTCCAGAATGATTGCCTATTTCCTTAAAGCACAAATGCAATTTAGTGCACTGTGGGAGGATGTGTCACGTGGGTGAATGGCCAAATAGCCTTGTGCTCGCTCCAGTCTCAGCTTCCAGATCTAATTAGACCCCAGCCAGAGGGAAGGGAGGCAGTTCATAGAGTTCAGGTTGTGATGGGAGTGCAGGAGGCTCAGAGATAGGACTCAACTGCTGGCATTTTCTTCACTAGACCCTTGAAGATGTTAGGAAGTGAGCAGTAGCCCACATTGTCAGTAAGTGTAAAACATCTTATATCAAACGAAACAAAGGACTTGATAATGCTTCCTGGGCTGTAAAGTTGAAATCAGAGTCAAGGTTTTTCTTTTCTATCACAAACCACCTCAGAAGTACTTTGCACTTGGATTAAAATTTCACTTTTAAGATGACTGATCCAGAAAATTAAAAGAGGGAAAACCATTGGAAGAGGCTGTAATATGATATATACTCCTCTGTAGGAGACTTCAGAGTTCTTGGACTTAGAATAAGTCCCACAGAGCTAGCTCTGAGATGCCAGCATCACTTTTTCTCATGCCTAGATTGACAATGGAAGCTTTCTTTCTGTCTATCACTACTCAGCTATTTTGTATCAAGCCCCTACCCTGTCAAGAATCCCAGGGTGTCTCCAATCTTGGTGGACCTCAGAACAATAGCCTAAAGAATTCTGACTTTGAGAACAAACTCTTACGAGTCCCTTGCTGCCCTCAGTGGGGACTGTAAATTGGCATTCCCTCATCACCTGGGAATTTGTTGGACATACAAATTCCACTCGTTCCCTACTGAGTTGGAAGATGCATAGTGACAAGATCCCCCAGGTGATGTTTATGCACATCAACCTTTGAGTTGGTCTAGATACGTCTGGTCTAGATAGGTGTTTTTGCAACTCTGAAGGGTACCAGAGTCACCTGGAAGATGCTGGCCAGGGGTACCTGGTACAGGAACCCTGGCCTGAGACATGCTGTCTTGGATAGTGGCACAGAGATGCCATGACTTTTCCCATCAGGCGCCACGATGAAGAATCCTGCAGCTTCCATCGAGGCCCAAGACGAGTATCCAGGAAAGCTAATGCTCCCGAGGGACTGGAACCAGGCTCCCTCCCTCAGATTGTTTTAATATTGCCACCTGGTTAAACAGAGCTGTGGACAAGAGGATCCTAAGGCCTCTGTACCAAAGCCAGAGTAAATGGAATGTGTTTTTCCCACCTTTAAAACAAACAGAGCCTGAGTGGCTGCTGCTGAGAACTATGAAACCAGGAGGTCCCTATTTGAGGACATGCTGGGACAGGTTGGTGACCCTGCACTGCCCCTTTTCTGGAGTGTTATTTAGTTAATTTATCATCATTCATCGCCATCTTTATTACTGGTCTTTTTAAGACAGGTCTGCCTATGTAGCACAGGATGGCCTTGAACTCAGGATTCTCTTGTTTCAGCTGCCTCAGTGCTGTGATTACAGATGTGTACCACCATGTCCTACACTGGTGTGTTCTTTCTTTTTTTTTTTTCCATTTTATGTATTTGCTACAGGGTCTCACTACACAGCTTGGACTGGTAGTGATCCTCCTGTTTTCAACCTCCCAGTGCTGGGATTACAGGCACGCAACACCACACCTGGACTCAGTCATTGGCTCAGCAGGCCCCGGGGGCAGAGCCAGCATGGCATGCGGGGCCAAGGATTGAACCCTGGTCCTTGTACTTGCCAAAGCAGGAGCTTAGTCCACTAAGCTATCCCACTGGCCCTCTGATGTGTTGTTTATAAAGATTTTTTTCAATCCAAGACTTTGGGGGTGGAGGTGCTGTAAAATGGAGCCCAATAACTCATGGATAGTAGGCAAGTGCTCTACCATTGAGCTACATCCCCCCATATTCATTCATTTGTGTATGTGACAGGGTCTTGCTAAATTGCCCAGGCTGACCTTGAATCTGCCATACTTCTGCTTCAGCTGGGATTATAGCTAGGTTCCACAACGCCCAGAAGTTCCAAAACTTGTCTTTGAATCCTCCTCATGACTGTTGCTCCAGATGGCACAATAGCCATATACCTCATAGTGTGTGGAGAATGCTGTTTGCCCAGTTCCTGGGCATCTGAGTCTTACTTCAAACTCTGTTGGATCCCACTTCACTTGCGCTACAAAGATAGCTTCCACATGCACAGAGACCTGTGAGAACAAAACGACTCTCCACTAGAAATGCCAGAGGAGGTCACAACAACCCTTGCCCTTGCACCGAGCAGAGATGGGTGCCTTGGATGGGAGGAGGCAAGGCCTGTTTTCACTGAGACCCAAATTATAAATTCATGTCCTAGATAAGCTGCACATAGAAGTAACAACTGTCACTGTAGAATGACTTCTATATGCCAGCTGTGCTGCGTCTTTACAAAAATTCAGTCCTAGCTATGAGGTTAATGTCACTATTGTGTTCATAAGACAGATGTGGAGACTAAGAAAGAGAATCATATGTATTTTGCCCAAGGTTACAAAGGCAGTTTGGCATCAAAAACTGTGCTCTCAACCCTAGGCCGCATGTGGCTGGTTCAGACAGCTTGATGTGGGGAAGCAGAAGACTCATTGGACACAACAGAGATTTTAAGGGTGTGTGTGTGTGTGTGTTTGTGTGTGTGTGTGTGTGTGTGTGTGTTAAGCACCTGCTGCACTCTTCCTATCTCTATATCCATTAGTTGGCATGAGGGTAGGAGGCCTGTTTTATAAGACATATCCAATCATAGCTCTTCTGACTGAGACAGAGGCCGAAGACCCTCAGCCCCTCTCACCCCACTTCCCAGCTATTCACTCCCAGGAAACGTTTCTACCTCTGCAGTGTCTGGCCTCAGTGCTTCCAATCCCAAATCCGTGTGTGCCCTGACCTCTTCATACCTGGTTCAACTGAGTGTCCCCAGTTATTACCGGATGGAGGAACCCGTGGGAATTCTTTCCAGGATCTCGGTGTCCTGAACAAAGAATTAGATGACACACAGAAAAGTTGGTGAGGGTGTACATTCACTGAAAGTGGAAGAGAGGTACCTCTAGAGGGTGAGACCAGGCCAGTGAACAAATGCATAGAGGCCACAAGGAGGGCGAAAGGGGTCTTTTGTGTGTGAAATTCCTGATTGGCTCCCCCTCATGCAAATAAGGCATTAGGACAATTGTCCTATCAAAATCTCCTTAAGTCTAGCACCAGATTTAAAAGGCCCTATGGGAAGACTTGCTTGGTATCTAACAGATGTAAGCAACCTATTGAAAGCACCACTCTTCTGATTGGTTCTGCAAACAGAATTGATTCCAGTGAGGGTTTGAAGACACTTTCTGATTGGTTCTGGGTACAGGGCTCCAGAGTCCTAGGGTCACTTTGAATCCTGTTTTCTGCACATGCTCTCTGGGTCCTCATGACCTTCCACACATTCCATGCAGTTGTTTGTCCAGTTTGCCCCAGCTCTGTTCTAGCACAGTTCACTGGTGGGAATAGCAGCTATAGAGAACAGGCTGGGGCCAAATATGGATGTGCCTGGAGGGGAGGGACTGTGGCAGGCACCACCTGTGAGGGCGGGCAAAACACTTTTAAGTATGAGAAATTTGATTTAACTCTTTGTATGTTTGTTTTTGAAACAGAGTCTCACTATGTAGTCAGGCTGACTTTGAACTCACTTTGTAGCCCAGGCTACCTCAAACTTATGGTGATCCTCCTGTCACAGCCTCCTGGGTGCTGGGATTAGAGGCCTAACTCCTAAAATTACAGTTATTTGAAGACAGCAAGGAGAAAGCATGCTTAGGAAGTACTATAATAAAGAATTTCAGCCAGGTATGGTGCACACCCATAATCCCAGGGGAAGGCTGAAAATGAAGGATCTCAAGTGTAAGTCTGGCCTAGGTAATTAAGAAACTTAGTGAAACCATGTCTCAAAATGTAAAAAGAAAAGAAAAAATTTAAAGGGCTTCAGATGTAGTATGGGCCCTGTGTTCAGGGCTCAGTACCATTTTAAAAAACCAGTTAAATCTACCCACATAAAGGTGCAGTCCGGTTGACATTGTGTGTAGTCATGGGCATGTGGAACAAGCTCTAATGAATCAGTATGTCTTAGTTACTTTCTTGTTGCTAGGATAAAATCCCCAACATTCACAAATTAAAGGAGGAAAGGCTTTTATTGGCCCACAGTTTGTAGCGGTTTCAATCCATTGTCAGCTGGCTCCAAGGCAGGGTGGCATGGCAGAGGAAAAGGCGCTCATGGCTGATAGGAAGAAGAGGGCCGTCAAGGAAGAAGGAAGGTTGTATGTGCTGTAAGAGGCGTAAAGGAATGTATTGGGCAGAATTCAAGTACACACTGTAAGGGGAGCTGAGGATATTTATGTACTTTGGGGGTGGAAATCTGTGAATTTGTGAATCCATAGAAATCTTGGCCTTGGTTTATAGGAGAAAAGTGAGCATGTACCTACCCAGAGGAGCGGAGATAAGGGCCCATTTCACAGGGGAAAGCACAGCCCATTTTAAGGGAGAAAGACAGGAGCCCAGATATTGCATGTCTGCCTCATACCTTATCAACCAAACTAATTTGTGAACTTGGAGTTATTTAAGGGATTTTGAGTGTGATAGGCCTGTAAGAAACGTAAATGATCTTTAATAAAGGATATGGAGAACCTGGGTAAATTTGGATCCTGTTGCTATCTTCAGAGTACATTTTCTTTGTTTGTTTGAGATACTTTGTTTGTTTATTGGGTCTCACTATGTAGTTCAGGCTGGCCTTGAACTCCCTGTTGTAACCTAGTCTGGCCTCAAACCCACAGTGGTCCTTCTGCCTCAGCCCCCCAGTTGCTATGATTCCAGGCATGTGCCACCATTGCCAGCCAGATTTTTAAAAGGATAGTGGGCTTTACATCTAATACTTTATTATGTCTTTCCCTTTACCTAGTTCCATATGTTTTGAAGAGATGTGCAGAATTTATTGAGACTCATGGCATTGTGGATGGAATCTATCGACTTTCAGGGGTCACCTCAAACATACAGCGGCTAAGGTAAGAGAAAAGAACCCAGGAGAACTCCCCCATAACCTCTTGTGTTGGCAGGGCCAAGAAGACCAAAACCTGAAGGGAAGAGAGAGGGCAGTGGAGTCTGATAGCTAATTGTGAATAGAGTGAGAAGGCTCTCCCACCTGATGCGATTCTTTCCAACAAAAGCTCCTTTGGGCTTTTAATCTGTTTCTTTGTCTCCCTCCAGGTTTGTCCTCTTGGGGAGGGAGGATTTGATTTAATGAAAATGATCTAAGTTACAAATTAGGAGAACAGCTAGAGGAGGTCCCTTCCATAGTGTTCAGAACTCACAAGCCTGAGATCCTTGGAGCTTTCTTACAGGTACACACTGGATATTTCATCTAGTTAAGCAATTAGAGGCCTCATGGTTGCTCATTTCTTGACTGATGCCAGTATTTAAAATTATGGATAGATGAACCATCCCCAGTGCTAGGGATTTACAATAAATGTTTGGGTGAAATTTCTATCACGTGAAATTAAGAGAGCAAGGACCATTACACAAAACAGGTACATGCAGGGATAAGAATGTAAAGTATACTTTTCTGTGACTAAAGGAATAGGATTATGTATGTACATATTATTAATATTCCTATTATCTTTTTGAAACTGTAGTTTGGGCTGGCCTTGAGCTCACTTTGTAGCCCACGCTGGTCTCCAACTCACAATGATCCTCCTGCCTTACCCTCCCTAGTGCTGGGATTCCAGGTGTGCACCACCACACCCTGGCTTTGCATATTATTATTATTTTTTTTCAAAATTTTATTGATAAACAGATAGCAATGAGACAGTTTCAAATCAAATCGGAAGTAGTTTCAACAAATAATACACTGCATATATTCTTCTTAGTGGTTAATTGCTGTACAAGATGCGGACTTGAGATCCTATTTACAAACACCATTAGAACAAATCACTCTATTCATTAAGAGAATGCAACTATATATCTATCCTAACCACTTTGAATACACAGATACAAAATGGACATTCATCAGTATACCCCATTTTTTCTAAGTTCCGTTATTGAATATTATAGGTGTGTAAACTCAGCAAAATATTCTAAAAGAGTCTGTATATTATTTTTAAGACCAAAAGAACATTACTTATTTTTTTTAATGTATTTAGTATAGGGTCTCACTACACAAATCAGACTCATAGTGATCCTTGTGTTTTCAGCCTCCCAAGTGCTGGGATTACAGGACATGCCACCATGCCCAGTCTCATTCACCATCTCAGCACACCCCAGGGGGGCAGGGCCAGCATGGCACACCAGGGATCAAACCCATGTTGATGAGCCTGTCTGAGCAGGTGCTTTAGTCTGCTGAGCTATCTGGCCAGTCCATCATTTTTAAAAATATGTGTTCTTTATATGTTTTCGTATGTGAACAATGAAAACACTCTTAGTACAAAGTCAGTATGTAAAATTTAATAGAGGATGCTGATAATCCATTTCCATCTTCCTCTATTTGCTTTCTGCCCCTCCCTTCCTAATCTTACTTACAGTTACAATATGCATAAAACTTTTACTCCAGGAGAAGTGGTGGCCATTAAGAAAAATAATGTATGTTGTAGACATACATTTTAATAATGTTCCATGTTTATATTACTCCACTAATTTACCATCGTGCCATTTTCTATGGTGTATTTTTGTCCAGCCCTGGGCATAGACTCCAGGGCTGTACACATGCTAGGCAAGGGCTCTGCCACCCCACTAGTAAACACCTCCTGCTTGCTAACGAAAGCCTCTGAGATGTTCTACACAGCAACAGTGGCCTGCAAAGACACTCAAGCGGAGGCAAGTTGTTTTTTATTTGAGGACTGGCATTAGTCTTGGGGAGGGAAGTTTTGGGCTAAATAACTAAGTTCTAGCTTATTCTTTGCTCCCTTAGAAAATCACATGCCTGGCCGGGGTGGTGGCACACACCTGGAATCCCAGCACTCTAGGAGGCTGAGGCAAGAGGATTACAAATGTGAGCTTGGACAAGTTAGTGATTAGGGGAATCTTGTTTCAAAATAAAAATTTTATAAAAGAGCTGGGGATGTTGCTCAGTCTGGAGGCCCTACGTTCAGTCTTCAGTACCAGAAAGAAAAAGCAGTGGGGCACAGCGAGTGAGCTGTGAATTTGTGAAGCCAGGTCATAGTTCCCCTTTGAAGGCCACATCCAGCCACCTCAGCTTCGGCAGCCAGAGCCCTGAGCTTTCTCACAGAGGCAAGCACCAGAGTGTGCAGTGGGCACAGGCTCTTTCGCAAACGCTGTTCTGTGAGCCCTGTTGATGTTGGCATCCACTCACTGACCATATGAATGCTCTCAAGAAGCCTGAATTCCCCATGAGAGCGCAACTCTATCATTTATTAAACAGATGTTTAACTTGAGGCAGTAGAATGGTAAATGCATTCTAGTGACCATCCAGGCCCAGCATCAGCTAAGGTTCCCAGATGTCCTGACACAGCTTTCTGAAGGCATTTCTAAGCTGTCCTCCCTATAAGAGTCTCCAGCTGGCAGCCTGCTGGCCTGGGGAGCATCTGAGATTGCTAATCAAAGCTCCCCATCCTGGGGTTTGAGACTCCAGATACCAGTGTGTTACCATTAAGGGACAACCTCACTTGCCCTGGTCTCAGTTTCTCTTGTACAAAAGATAA